TGATGCCACAGGACCTCTGCACTCAAAGAGAGCAGCACAAGGAATCCCAAGCCCACCTGAGAGCAGCTTCCAGGAATGTGGGGCCAACACCCCAAGGTAAAGCCCAAAGCACCTCCACCAACTGCTGCAGCACTCAGAGCATTATTTGTTTTTAAATGCAGAGCTTGTTGCTAAAACCAGCTGTCCCCTTGGTCTTTATGCCTCTAAGCTAACTCCTGAATTCTGCTTTTCCATACCTTATTTTGTGGGAGTCAGGAGGGCTGAGTGCTGTGCCTGCACCCCAGGAGATGAATTCCTGGCAGAGATGTTGCTGCATGGGACAAAGTGCTGGGCACGGATTTCCCGAGCTCTGTCCCCCACAGAAACACCAGCAGCTCAGGGAGCTGATTTGTTTGCATTCCACAGAATGTATTTATTACATAACAGATAATCTGCAGCCATTCCCATGGCACTGTGGGACCCTGTGGATTTTTTTAATCCAGGAAGGGAACCCCTCCCACATGAACGTCACTGGCAGATCCCGGCTGCTCCCCCAGGGCTCAGGGCATCCTCCCCTTCCTTGGGCCCTGCAGCAGCACAGAGTGGTGGGAAATCATGGACAGGACACTGATCCCAATGGGAACTGCTGCACCTTGCACTGACACCACAAAATACAAAATAACCATGACCAAAAAACCAAAAATGTGCATTCTCCATCACTCTGTGCTCATCCAGGAATTTTTCACAGTGGGAAAATGGCAGAATCCTCTCCTGCCTATTTCAATTCTCTACAGTTCAACAGTTGCTCTCACAAAGCAGGCAAAACTTTTCACAGATAAACATTTAATGTGATTACTTCATTCTGCAGCTTCTGGTTTGTCTGTCTCGAGTTCTCCAAAGAGGCCAAAGTTTCAATCTTCTCTTTGTGAATGGCATCCTTCTCCTTGGTCACCTGCTCCACTGCCTGGGAAACATCTTCTGCCAGCTTGGCCACCTGGATATAAAGGGAGGTGGGGGAAAAACCAGTTATTCCCAGCAGGAACTCTGACAGCAAAAAATCCATACTTTATGCACAGCTCCGTGTTTGTCAGCTGCTTCCCAGGTAAGTAAGGACTTAAACTGGGAGTTTATTTGAATTTTGGAGCTGCACAAAGTAGGAAATGAACTGCAGATTCAATTCCATGCAGGAACAGATTATAACCCCATGCTCATGTCACATCTGAGGAATTTGAATTCCTGGATTTCTCATCACCACCACTGTGATTGCTCTCAGATCTCTCACCTCTTTAGGCAGTAATAATTCAACAGATATTCACTTCCAACAGTCTGGTGTATTTTCAGAAATAAGGAATTGCAAAACCTCAAATATTTGGAAAATAACGGAATTAAAGCCAATTATTGCATTATTTCAGTGTTGTTCATTATGGCCTCAAAAAGGAAATATTTCACAATGGTATCGAAATACTTAGGCAGCTGTAATCTATAGGATCTCCTGATCCCAATTTGCATTCCATGTGATTTTCTGGGCTTCAAGCCACACAAACTGAAAATCAAAGTGTTTTATAAAGAATTTGTTGGTGGTGAATACAAAACACTTCTGTGAATAAAAAGAACTCCAGAATCGTCAATATTTTCAATTCCTCTCACACTGCTTTTATCCAATTTACAGAAGCAGAACATTCTTTCATATTTTTGGAGTAACTCAGGTTGGTAGTTTGCTGTAATTGCACATAAAATTACACAAAGATCCACTTGAAAACATTATCTATCACTACTTTAAATTTTATGTAGCAGAGTCCTTCAGCAGAAGGAGCTGCTCCACATCTCCTCACAGATTCAGGGAACACAACTTCCTTTTATTCACAGTTTATGTTGTTTTCTTGCAACATTCAGCAACAATAGAGGCTTTTGTAGTTAAAAATATTAAAAAAAAAAAGAAAAAAAGTGTCTTTTAGACTCACAGTTGCAAACACCCCCCAGGTCCCACACTGAGAGCCCACAGTGCAGTGTGTTATGAAGGGCTGAGTGTGCAGGGAGGTGCAGACAGGACACCAGGGTTAGTGCTCAGGATTAGTAGAACCAGCCCCAGACTTGACTTTTAACTATGAATTTCAATACCTCTGGTTTCTGTACTACTGCTTGGGCCTGGAGAGTCTCAATTTCTTTTACTTTCAAAATCAGATTTTTCATTTGCTCCTGCAGCATCTGATTTTGGCCCTGAGACTCCAACAATTTGCCCGAGAGGTCACTGTTAGTCTGTTCTAAAAGCTTAACCTCCTCATGGAGTCTGTAATAATCCTGGAATAACATCCCCTTCTCCTTCACTAGTCCCTCCTGACTGAGGAGCAGATTTTTCTGCTCCTTCCTCAGGATCTCCAGGTCCTGAAGGTACTCAGTGCCCTCCTTCTCCATCAGCTCCATCTGCTGCTCCAGCACGTCCATCTTCCTGGCGATGCCGCTGTGCACGCCCCGGAACTCGGCCGCCGTTCTGGACACGGAGGCAAAGTTGCTCTTCAGCCGCCTCATGTTGGCAGTGACGTGCTCCTTCTCTGCACAGATCACTTGTTCCTCTCTCATTATCTCCACCAGTTTCATTTCACACTTTTCTTTCTCCTCAATGGAAAGGGTTTTCTCAGCCAGAACTTTGTTTTTCTCTCTCAGCTCTTCCAGCTCCTTCTCCAAGGAGCAGATGTTCCGCTGAAGTTCTGTACGTCCCAACAGAAATGATTTCTCGTCCAGTTTTCGAGCTTCCTTTTCCAAGGTTAAGGATTCTTTCACAAGAGCAACCTCTTTGTTTAATTTCTGACACTCCTCCTGCAGCTCATCCCTCTCCCTGGTCAGCATTTCCCTGGCAAAGGAGCAGGTGTCCAAGGAAGAGGACAGGACCTGCTTGGTGTGTGCTGCAGCTGCCAGCTCACCTTCTAATGCTCTTTTGGCATCCTGGGCCTTCTGCAGAAGACTGGAAAGGTCACATTTACAGGCCATTAACTCCTGATTTTCTACAGTCTTCTTACTGAGCTCTCCCTTCAGGGCTTCAATGGAATTTTGGAGTGTGGCATTCTCTTCAGCCAGAGCATTCCTGGCCAGGAGATCCAGCTCGTGTTCTTTCTTCAGATCAGAAACTGCCTTTGCACAGGACTCGTTTTCACCAAGAAGCTCCAAGTGTTTTCTCTCCAGTTCCTTCCTCTCTTGGAGAAGAGCCTCGTTGTGCTCCTCAAACTGCAACAACTTCTGAAGGACAGATTCCTTCTCCAAGGTCAGCTTGTTCATTTTCTCAGCGCAGACTCTCTCACAAAGCTCAGCATATGCTGAGGCCTTCACAAGTTTCTCAGCAGTTGCCTTATTTTCATTGAGAAGTTGCTCCCTTTCAGCCAAAAGCCTCTGTTCTGATGAGGAAAGAGCCTCTTTCTCCTGACGTAAGTGACTGCACTCCAAACTGAGTGTGTCTCTTGAGGCTTTCATTTCCTCAAGGACACGGGTGAGGCTCTCAAGGGAACTCTGCAGCTCCTGGGTGTCCTTCTTGGCTTTGCTGAGCTGGCTTTGCATCTCCTCCTCTCTCACTTTTAACACTTGGTTCTCACTGACTGCCTGCTCTAAACTCCCTTGCAGCTTTTCTGTGCCTTTGAGGAGCACGTCCTTCTCCTCCTGCAGGCCTGACAAGAGCCTGCCCAGCTCCTCCTCCAGGGCTTTGTGCCTGTCCTGCAGCGCCAGGAGCTCGCCCAGGGCTGACACTCTCTCTGCAGCCAGAGCTGACACTTGCTGCTGCAGCTCCCTCTGCTCTCTGGCCAGGGCCTCACAAGAACTTCCCAGCTTCTGGATAACTTCATCTTTGTCTTTCAGAGCTGCATCTTTCTCTCCCAAAAGTCTCTTCTGATAACTCTCCAGCTCTTCCCATTCTCTGACGTGTTTCTGACACGCCACATCCATGGCATCTCTGCTGGCCTGGAGCTCCTCCAGCTTCTGGAACAAGGTTAACTCCAGGGACTGCAGAGCTTCATTTTCCTGAGCTGCCTCCAGCAGCTTTGCCTGCACTGCCCCGAGTTCAGACAGTAATTTGCTTTTCTCAGCAGCCAGAGCTGCCTTTTCTGTGCTCTCCTGCTGGCTTTTGGCCTCAGCTTCTTCCTTCTGCTTTAGGATTCTTTTATTTTCTGCCTTCAGCTCTTCTTGGTCTTGTTGCATTAACGAAATCTTTGACTCCAGTTCTTTAAGTTTTGATAACAAGGGACCTCTCTCTAATTTTAAAGTATTCCCCTCCTGTGCCAAAGTCTCTTTTTCTGATCTCAAAGCCCTCATCTTGTCTGACATTTGTTCGATTTCTTTTCTGGAGGAGGCTAACACAGAGCTTAAGGACTAAAGAAATAAAGTCGGGGAGAAGGGAAAACAAAAATCAAGTCAAGCAGACAAATGAGAAATGTGCTTTAAGGGCAAATAGAGCAACTTAATAAAAGTTTTAAAAGTGTATACACTGACACACTGTGTCTGTTTGAACTCTGCTGGCAGACACCCCTGCTACATTACAGAACACACATCGTCCACAAGAGGTTTTTAGTGGCTAAATAATATTAAAATTATCATGGTTTCAAGGTTCCTCCATCCAAAATTTCATGTAATTTCTAAAAGTACTCTCAATAAGTTGACTGACTGTGAACTGCTCAAAAAGAAGAGCCACAGAATGATTTCATGAGACTCTAAATGAATTAAAATGCAAGGAGTTCTATTAGAAACTGACTTCCAATTCTCAGTTTCACCTCCTCATGATTTTCTCATAAATATGTTGTCATGATCCCTTTAATTTTATCCCTTTAATTCAAAACACCACATCAGTGCTGTCAATATCGTGTGTCAATTTATACACTAAATAATTTGCTAAATCATACAGCAGAGATTATAGCAAATAATTGCTGAGGCATGAAAGCAAGCAGTAAAGTCAAAGAAATGGGAGGAAAAATTAAAATTGCTAAAGTCAAGCTACACACACTGAACAGCTGCAGATCATACTACAAATAAAAGGTGTGTAGCACTTCTAAATGAAGTAATTCACAATGCATCTTAAAATGCAAGCATATAAAAAACCAGAGGATGACATCTGGCTCCAGCTGGCTGTGCTGAGCCAGATCTATGAACATAAAATGTTAACTGATATTAAAGAACTGAACTCATCAACTCTTGTGGAACTGAGGGCAGAACTAACAACCAGTTTGTCCTGTGGGCATCTCCTCCCTAACCCAACCCCACACACCCTGGGAAAGGTCAAAACAGAAAAACTACAAAAATCTGGCTAGGAAAGGTTGAAGCAGAGAGAAAACGAGTCACTGAGACAGAAAATCTGAACTTTAAGTCACTTGCAGAGTGACAAAAGCCACTTACTCTGGCCTGCTCTGCTTGTTTCTGCAGCTCCTCAGCCTGTGCCTCCAGCTCGCTGTTCTTCCTCTGGGCACTCTTCAGTGCCTCCTCTGCATCCTGCAGGTTCTGCTTAAACCCCTGGATATCTGCATCATGTTTAGCCACCAGCTCAGAAATTTCTTTTTCATGCTTTGCCTGCAGATCTTTGTACTGATGTTGGCTGCTCTCAATCTGCTTTTTCTGGTGGAAGGCAAGACAGTAAAACACAGTTCAAGCAGCAGTGGGACCGTTTCTCTGCACAGTTTTAGTGCTTTTAAAATTGTTCTTACCATGTCTGTTAAATGATCCTGCAGAGTTTTCAGTTCTGCTTGATGCATCTTGAGAGTTTCCTGCTGACTCTGCTCAGCTCTCTGGGTTGTCTGCTCCACATTTTCCTGAAGCTGAGCTGCCTTTTCATTTGCCTTTGTGAGCTCGAGCTGTATTTGCTCCAACTGCCTGGAAAGAGCAAATGAAAGAACATCACTTTCTGCTGACAGCACCACAAGCACAGAGATGAAAGAGCCAAGATTGGACTGGAGTTCTATATTCTGACCAAGCATTTAGAAAGAGATTACATTGTTTAAAAGAGAGTGTTCTGCTAAACAGGGAAGATCAAGTTATATTCTCCCCAGTATTGTACACGCAATTTTTGTTTGGGGAAAATCCCTCACATTTTCCCTCACAAAAATGTGACCCAAGTCTTTTATATATCTAAATGAACTGGGTTTATCAGGTAATCAAATAATCATGGAGCACAATCACAAAATAGTCTGAATCATTCAAGAGGTCATCTACTGTGGGCAATAAGAAGCATGTTATGTAAGAATTTTGGAATTATCAGTGTTGGATGCTCTTCAAACCACTCCCAGGAGACTGCTTTGATTGATTTAGCTTGCTAGAATAAGCTCACTTGTCATATCAATGTGACACTTAGGAGCATCTTGTTCAGATATTTACAGAAAAATAAAATGAGAAGCTGGGAGTGTGGGAGTGGAGATGTGACAGGGATGAAATACCTTTCCTTTAACCTCAGCTCATCGTTCATCCTTGTGAGCTGGGCAGAGCTGTCTCCTGATGACTTCATGATCTCTGCAATCTCATTTTCAAGTTTGGCTTTTGCTTCCAGCAGCTGCTGCTCCCTCTCTTCTCGCTCCCTCAGCTTCCTCTCCATCTCTGAGCAAAACAAAGGTGGTTAAGCTGTGAATTCTACAGGAAGGGCATGCAAAGAACAGCTGGAGAACTGTAAAGAACTACAACCAGCAATATTGATGCTCCAGACCTCACAGATCACCCCTTTAAAAAGAAAAATGATGATTGATTGAACTGGTAACTGCAGCAGGAGGTTGAGGACTCTTAGCAAAGAGCAGCTTTGCTGGTCACGAGCCCTTTGTTTCAGATGGGATTCACTCCAGGCCATGAGATGTTGGTACAAGTTCTGCTGTCCCAGAGGGGACGGAGGCAGAGGGGGAAGAGACCTGCAGGTCCTGCAGGTGAGGTCCCTCCTCAGCTGCTCCACAGCAGCAGAAAATGAACCAGGAAGGGAGCCCAGAGCTGCAGTGAAACAACGCCCGGGGCAGGGCAGGCACTGCCAGGGCAGCCCTGGGGTCACTTCTGCCACCAGACAAGGGTTGCTCCAGGGCACAAATCCCTGCACTGCTTTTACAGAGATCCAAGGAGATGAAAGGCACAGCAAAGCCTAAAGAGCACAAGGCTGAGGCATTTCCAGAACATTCCATTTCACCCCTTCCTTACCAGTCAAACTAGACTTGAGCTGCTCCAGTTCTGAAGACATGAGTGCAAACTGCTCTTCTTTTTGGTTCAGCTTCTTCACCGTTTCTAGGCAAGCAAAATTTGGAAAACAAAGTTAGTAACAACTGAAATGCAGACAATTCTACCTACTTGCAAGGTGTGTCACCCTTCAGAGAGGCTACAAATAATCCTGTCCTTTCCACAGCCCCTGAAACTGCTGGGACATCAGCTGTGAGCTTGAAAGGGTTTAAAAACCACATTTTGTTGGCATTTAATTTCTGCAGCTTTTTAGTTCTCTGTTTATGTTAGCAGCACATACCTTGCATAGCTTGTTGAACATTCTCTGCTTCATCAGCTGCACTAGTAAATTTTTCTTTCTGAAAAATTGATAAAAACTTAAGGTAAGGCTTGGTAGTACCAGTACAATTCAACCACTGAATTTGCACTTGGTATTTTTCATGTACAAACAGAACAACCTTTGCTCCTATCACAAGAGATCTCAAGTTTTTGGGTTACAGTTAGCACAGATTTCCCTTGCCTTGGCTGCAAGTCCCTCAAGATTTAAAGCAACTCCTCCAGCAGCTGCCACAGATTCCAGGTGGGAATCCGGAATTTGCACAGGGGACACCTGGGACCCTCCCCCACCAGGGCTCTCCAGCTTTCCCAGCAGGAATTGATGCCAGACAGTGAAGAAAAGGGAGGATTTTCAGGAATGCAAGTGAGGCTCTTCCACCAAGTTTGGATGTTTACTATTGGCCATGGAAAGACCAAAATTCCCATTGTTTTGTTGCTAATGCCAGTGAAGTTCCTCAGGGAAACCCCACCCAACAAGACAGCATTTGGAAATTTATTTAAATGAGAAATGTCCTTTAAAACCATTTATAGCAAGCATTAATTGGCACAACAGCTACAATAAAGGGCCATTAAGTGTTCCTAAATTTAAACTGCTGCTGCTTTTGATTTGGTTTAATTTTATCTGCAATCCATAAATAGATGAGTTCAATTTAGACAAAACACCTGATAAAGCAGGACTGAGGTGAAATGCTCTTTTTATTTTGAGGCAGATCCCATCAACCACGAATCCTTCCCATTTTTTCCATGACTAAAACACATTTGGAAGGCTTTGCTCAGAGCTGATCCACAGACTTCCATGACACTCTCACCATGAAACACAAAATCCAAAGAGTAAAGTCAAAATTTTGGGGTATTACTCACCAAAACTTGAAGTTCCTTTTCCAAAGAATCTTTAACTTGATTTACTGCACTCAAGTTTTTCTCAAATTCAAGAAGCTTTTGCTCTTTGCCCTGCAGTTCTTTGGCCAAATTACTGGCCTAACAAAGGTGATGAAATGGAGTAAAATAAAATGAGAAACATGAATGAAAAATTAACAAAATTAAAAGGTGAATCTGAAAGAAATAACTGTAATATCAAAATCACTCTAAGATGAAAAATAAAAGAAAATTAAGAAAAAACCATGATGGGTTAAGTGAGTGAAGCTGATTTCCACTGATGACTGCATACATCACAGCACTAATTGCATCTTGGAATAGATTTGAAATCATTAAAATTGAGTTCTTTTGGCATTAATTGTGAATACATTTTTTAATGGCAGACATTTTTGAATACACTCACAATTTCAAAGTTTCAGCATTAGTTCAATCAGTACTTTTGGTTCATTTTTATTTGTGCTTCAATTGGCTGATCAGATCAATACCCACACACAGGGAGGGAATCTCTGGAGCACACCCAGTGCAGAAATCCAGGGTGGCCTCAAAGAGTCAAGGTAAAAATTTGATATTTTGGAACCACCTGTGAAGGGTTTAGGAAAGCTTTTTCCAGTTATTTCCTCAGTTATTTCCAGTTCTTCACTGCCATCAGCTTTACAGAGGTTTCATCCAAACCCAAGGAAAATCCTGCACCAAGTTGCAGCCTGTGCCCCAAAGTGCTGTCAAACAGTGCCAAACCCACCCCTGCAGAGCCTGGGCCTAAAGAAAAGCTCCACCAGGATTTTCTGTGCTTTATTTTGTTTTAAAAGCCTCTCCCATCACCTTGCCAGAGGAGGGGAAAGGTAATGAAGGAAATGTTTCCCCCTGGGTCCCAAATCCCCTTGTCTATCCCCAAAGGTTAAAGCCCTAGGGTGTGTGGACCCTCCCCAAACCAGCCAACAACTTTTCCACAACAACAGGAAGATTTCAGCACAGACACGCCCAGATCTGCAGCAAGGAGGTGCAGAAGGAATTATTTCCTTTTGCTGATTGGGGCAGGTGGAGCAGCAAAGCCTGTTGAGACAGGACCCAGTTCCTGCTCCTCTAAACCTCCTCAGATGGTCCCAAGATACACCTTCAGGAAAACTCCTTTTTTCTGTGATGTATTTCCTATAGCAGATTGAAAGGGTACAAATGTAAAATAAAAGCAAAAGAAAACCAAAAGGATGGATGTTGATACAAACCTGGCTAATTCCATCACCCTTCTCAGTCTCTAAAGTCTGAATTTGTTTCTCAGCTGCCTCAAGCTGCTTGCTAAGTTTCTCGATTTCCAATTTACCTTCAGAATTGGCTTTCTCAAGTGCAGCAAGGTCCAAAAGCTTTTCTTCAGCAGCTTTGATCTGTGGTGTAAGACTATCAATAACTTTGGTTTGTTCATTGCACTTGGCTTGCAGTACCTCTAGCTCCTTTACCTTTATCTCAGCTTCCTGCAATTTGTTTAAAGTGTCTTCCATTTCTACAAGGTGCTGATCTTCCACACTTTCCAGTTTGGTCTTCAGGCTTTCCAGGTTTTGCTCTTTCTCCTCCGTGACTGCCACCAGTTTGGCTTTCAGGGACTCGATCTCTTTCAGGTGCTGAGATCTCTCATTTTCCTGCTTCAGTTTTAGATTTGCCATTTCATTCTCATAGTCTAATTTCATCTTCTCAATCTGAGTCTTTAACTCAGCGAATTCTGCAGTCTGAGCCCCAACACCTTTGCTGAAGGAAACTTTCAGCTCTTCCATTGCTTGCTGATGGGAGGCGATTGCAGATTCCAGCTTGGACTTCCACAGCTCAATCACATCAGAATTCTCCTTGTTGGCATGGTCAAGCTTGCTTTTCAAGGATTCATTTTCCTTTGCCATCCTCTCATTTGAAGCTGAAAGGGATTTGATCTCTTTCTGCAAAGCTTCCTCACTGAGGCCAAACTTCTCCTTCAGCGAGTTCATCTCGTTCTGGTGCTCTTTGCCAGCTGCTGCCATTTTTTCTTGCAAAGAGCTGATTTCTTGGAGCAGGGAGAGGGAAGTGTCCACGTCGTCCATGGGCTTGCTGGAATCCAGCCTCCCTCGGAGCTCAGCCACCTCCTTCACCCTCAGCGCCAGGTCCCTCTCCAGCTCCATGATCCGGGACTTCTCTGACACCGTGGCCACCTGTGATCAACAGCATTTTGAGAAAAGAAGAATTATAAAAGACACATTTCACACAGAGACACTCAGGCCTTGCGGAAAAGCTTCCACCGAGCGTTGCAAATGGCTTCACAAAGGGAAAAATGTCCACAGTTCATGTGACAAACATCTTTTATTGTCTATAAACAGAGAATTTACTAAAATTTGTTCTTTTGGTAGTATCTAGAAATAAATTACTAAAAAATTTACAAACTACCCGGATGGGTATTATCAATGATTAACAAAATGTTCCTCAGAACCATTTTAAGGCAGACTGGAAAAGAATGGAGAATCTTGAGGTCTTTGTTGAAATAATTTCTTCCAAATTCATCTCACACCAGCTATATAAGACTGTCAGAAATTGATAAACACATTTTGAACTGATAAATCCTCTGAAATCCCTTCTATATCTGCTTCTCCCTAAAAAAGTGTCCTGGCACTATCTGAGCTTTTCACTGACTGCTGGAGCAGTTTTTGCTACAGAAAAGCTCCCAGAATTAATTCTAATTAGGAAGTTACTTCTTTGACCTCCTGGAAAAGATATCACTTATCCACAGCTGCCCTTTAAAAGTACTTATTACACATTAAATTGTTGGTTTTGTATTCATCCTGGGTTTCTTAATTCATCATACCTGACCTTCAAGAAAATCCCCATGTGTGAGCATGAATATATGTGTGTGTGTGTATATATCTATTTTTATTTAAAAATTGACATCTGCTGCACTTCTGACTTGGTCAGTAATATTCTGACAGGCAGCAGTATTACTAATTACTGAGATAATCATTAAAAGAATATATCATTAGTGGGGAAAAAAAGAGCTGAAAAGCCACTGCAAACTATGATTTAGCAAAGCAAACAGTGCAGCAGCTACTGCAGAGCTCAGGAACCAAGCCCCAAATACTCAGTTTGTGTTAAAGGGACTGGCATGTTCAGTCTTAGGTTTTTGGGGTTTAATGAACTATAAACTTTTTTAATAAACTTTGGGGTTTAATGTCCTAATTTTTAAAATGAGCTACTGAATACTCCCTTCTGTCAACTCATGCTAATTGAATGTTCCTTTCTGTCAACTCATGATCCCATCTCGCTACTTTTGGATCCAAGGATTACTTTTGCAGTGTGAAGGCGTCTTACCTGAGTTCTTGTACGAGTCACATGTCCAGGCACACACACACACCCCAGGGAAGCTCAAAATTAATCCTAATTTTTTACAGTGTTCCAGCTCTGGCTACGGCAGGAGCAAGGACCTGTTCCAGCACGTGTCACCCCCGGCTTTTGTGCCACCAGAAATCTTCCACAACACAGATCAGGCTCGTTATTCAAACAGGGAAAACCATTACCCTAGTGTCTTCTAACTCCCTCTGGAGTTTGTCAGCTTTGGTCTTTTCAAAGAGCAGGCTCTGTTCAAGCTCCTTAATGCGGGCATGCTCCAGTTTGGTCTGCGTCTGTTAGTGGAGAGGGAGAGGAAGAGAACACAACGGTGCCACCATCACATGCCAGCACGAGAGGAGGAGCCACATGCAGGCCGTGCTGCCAGAGCCTTCTCACAGGTGAGCAGAGAGGATGCAAGGGGGGGAAAATGGACAGGAAAATGCTGTGGATGAGGAGGATGGGCTGAAGGTGTGAATGGATGGGCGTGTGAAAACGAAATCAACGTGTAAAATAAATAAATAAATAAATAAAATGAACAGCAAACGGAGGAATGGGAACAAAAAAATAGTTTCATGCAGCTGAGTAGGAGTTATTTATCAGTACATGAAGTTTTCAGCACAAATTAGAATAGTTATGTCAAAAATATATAAATGTGCATATATCTCTGTTCCTGCTCTAACAGGATGGGAAGTCCCTTTCCTTATCATCCCACTACCTTTTCCTTTAATGCCTTTGGCTGATTTTATAAAAAATTACTCATTAACAGGGGGACAAAAATTCTCCTCTGAAACTCATGTGACAAATCAAAACTTTAACTTTCTTTTTTTGGTAGTAGCTGTCTCTAAGTCTCAGCCATAAAAATGCCTCTGGCCAAGAGCTGGGCACATGAAGGCTCCTCTGTCACTATGGTTTGAGTTATCTGAACAGAAATAGAGAATGGCTGTCTGTAACTGTAACTCCAAAATCCTGCTCTGTTTCCCCCCTCTTCCCCTCTTTCAGGAAGGAAGCAAGCTACAAGATTCCTCAAAACCAGATAAAAAAGTGAATCAGCCTGGTTGCTCTGCAGTTGTGGATGTCTAAATATATTGAAGAATATGTGGAAGTAAGAAAGAAGCAGGATCTTTGGAATTCTAACAGGCTCCTAAAGAGAAGCAGGAGACTGATGAACCCAAGTGAGCAGGTACCCCCTGCCTTTGCTAACAAACAGAATTTTTAGCAAGAACACAGAATATTTAGAATTCTGGCTTGATATTCACATAGTCCCTGAGGCCTGCAGGAGAACCTGAAGTTTGGGAGGTGCAGGGAAAGCCCAGCAGGTGATTCAAACCTGACCTGCACCTCTGATGTGGGGAAGAGAAAAAAATGAAAGAGAAATATCAAGATGGGGATGAGCTCCTTATCTGCTTCTCCAGACACAGAATTCCTTCTGGCAGCACCAAGTTCTTCCTTCCCAAAAGCATCCAGACACCCAAGGGGGTGAATTTTTTAAACAGTTGAAAAGTGTTGGCCATTTCTATGGAGTTCTTGGTCCACAAAGACTTGGAAGTTGCTCCTTGGAACTGTTATGTTTTCATTCTGTAGCAGGGCTGTGGAAGATCTTCAGGGTGTGACAGGCAAAAATGCTCCACAAGAACACAGATTATTGTTTTTCCTGCCCACAGCCTTTGAAAATGGAATTAAGTATTCTAAGGGAAATAATATTTAATAAGTGGCTACCATTCAGATTTCTCTCTGACACAGGTCAGTGTTAGTTTTAATCCACAACCAGATTTTAATTAAGTCTGAAAAACAATCTGCTTTAAAAGATGGAAATTCAAACTTGCTCTAATTCACCAAGGGGATCTACTAAAGCCCAAGAAATCCCAAATCTCATGGTTACAGAATTCCCCCTGTGTGCCTTTGGAATATGTAACCTTAAGTTTTTTTATGCTACATAAAACCCAAACTCTTTGATCATTCATTTTACAGACAGTGCTTTCCTGCTCCAAGGATCAGACAGACCATCACTGATTACTGGGTTTTTAAAATCTCATCTCTTATATACTACAAAGGCAAGTAAGTTAAAATCCTGCCAAAATGGAAATAAAAGATTAAAAAAGAATACTCCTGAGATCTTTGCTTGACACCTTTTTCCCAAATTAGAGATGAGAGATTATCCTTTAATCAAATCTGATTTCCAAGGGACAGATTCCAGATTTACTGAGGTAAAAATCACTGAAAAATTTTGAACAGCTCCAATTTCTCTCCTGATGATGTGGAGAGAAATTCTTACTGATTATGGTTCCCTTTGAGGAAACCCAGAATTGTGAAGAGAAAGTACCCCAAAAAGAAGAAAATAATTTGATTGTAAAGCTTAACTTGGATGGAAAAGAAAAGCAGGAAAGAAAAATACAGACAACAAAGCCAAAGGAATCATCTTCCCCTTCTCCAGAGCTTCACAGTCAGGGAGGTGATGTGGAAATGGGATTTTTACTCTGCCTTGAACCTCCCAGAATTCCACCCAAACTTGGAGGTTGGACATCAGCCTTTGGCAGCTCCTGTGTGCTCTGGCCATTCCTTCACTCCAGAACAAACCTCCCTGTGACATCTCCAAACTGGGAAATGGTGCTGAGGCCCCAGTTCCTGACCATCGGCTCTAGGATGGGCCAGGGCACCCTGCAGGCCCCTTGTGCTGGGACACAACCCAGGACAGCACCAGGAGCAGGCAGGGCAGCCTGGAAAGTCTCCCCTGGAGAGTGAAAATGTCCATTTTTAATGGAAACAGCACAACAGGGAAGTCAGGAGGAAAGTTGGGATCAGAGAAGGAGTACACAAAGCAAGAGGAAGGAAGGGCACATGCAGATTTATTTCTAACAAAGCATCAGCCTGATGGGAGACTGAGGAGAAGCAGATCCCTGAGGGATCTCTGCAAAGGGAACCCCTAAGGATGCTCAGCAGGACCCAGCTCTGGTCTTGAGAACTCCCTGTCTTGGTTGGGAATGCAACACAGGGATAATGCAACTGGGATAAATTTACCAGTAAAATTCCACTAATCTGAGTTAGGGAAGCAAGAGGGCTCCTTAAACATCTTGCATGGCCATTTCTGTTATCAAGGAACACATTTTTCCCACAGAATTTGAAGAGGAGCTACATGAAGATACAGTAAAATCAGACAGCTTTGTAAAGTAATTGTTCAGTGGGTTTTAATCATGTTCCCCCTCAGCATTTCATACAGAAAAAAAGGAAACAAATATGGGAAGATGAAGAATAGACAGATTTTTTCCCTTCAGAAAAATTGTCATCTATTGAGCAGGATCTCATAGGAGAGCAGGCAGGATTTTGTGAAGAAAACAGCAAAAATCCTACATTTAAATTAAGGCCACTTCAGTCAAGTTCTGCAAGCTCCTGAGTGAGCTGCAAAGGCTGTGACCCTCCAGAACTCTAAAGCCACGCTGGCCTGGCTGCAGTTCAGTCATTACACACATTCTTCCCAAGAAATGTTGTAATTGCTCTGAAAGCAACATGCACACAGATACCAGAGTCAATGTCTCCAGAACAGATTATGCAGTTAGTGAATCAGTAAAAGCATTTTCTGCACACAATCTGTTAACATGGGATGTCTCTGCACATTGAAGTGCCCTCTTACATTTTCTGGGTCTTCCGAAATCTGCCTCTTTCGCTATCAGTAAAATTAAAAAACAAACAGACAAAAATGTTTCACCTGCAGACTCAGCACTGCCATTCCAACACAAACAACAGGAGAAATTCCATCAGCTTGAATTCAGTTTAAACCCCCAAGTTAAGCAGCTTGACAAACCAGAGTCTTTAGGATGGTTTGCCATGATTATCGATTGATTTAGCAGAAAATAAAAAACTAAAATATTTCCATGGACTAAACAATAAAAGGAGAATTCTATGAAGAGTCTAGATAGGTATCTTAAAATGGATGGAAGACTAAAATAAAAGAAATGTTATATGAAATGAGTATTTTCCATAAGGCTAGCACTTCAATCACAAATGCTTTATAGCAACACAGTTAAATAAGTTTGTACTTTAGGCTTCTGATTAGACAACAGAGTAGAGCAACTAAAATTATCCTGCTTATTAATTGGAATTCTGGGATAAAAATTTGGCAGTGCTCAAATATCTGAGAGCAATCATTCCCTAAATGTTTCCTATTCTGACTGTGCAATAACACACTGTGCTGCAGCCCAACATTACAATTCTATAAACAACAGATCAAAGTTGCACACATTAATTGCTATTTAGATTTTATGTGCAAACTCTTCATTAATCAACCTTCCTTAAGGGAAGCACAGGAATTACTTAAGAAATGGATCAAACAGGACAAGTCTTCAATATTCATTTTCAAAAGCATTAATATTAACTTGCAATTTTGTAACTTCAAAACAATTTTAATTTTGGTTAAACTTCTTAGTGGTTACTTTTAACAGCAAAAGGTAGAATTTTCTATGAATTAATTTAATTTCTCTAAGTAACTACACCCTTTCCATAGCACAGCCTTTGCTAAAGTGTGTAACTGAATTTGGGGTGCAATCCTGCAGTTTTGGGACAATTGGCTCACTAAAGGACTGCAGAAATGGGTATCATTTTCATGTGGCTGGACCAGGATTGCATCTTTTAATGATTCCTGCCCTCCTGGGTATCCCTTTTACAAAGCTGGAGATGTTTTACCTCTAGGTCTCCTTTGGTAATGGATTCTTCTTCCACACGGAACTGAAGGTCTTCAACTTTCCTGTGGGGACAACTCATTAAAATTCAGGTAATTTTGGAAGCAAATGCTTTCAAGCTCACTTTTCAGTGGAAATCAGAATGACAGTGACAACATTCCCATTGTAGCAGCAAAGTGCAAGGAACATTAAGGAGAAATTTCTCACAGGAAGCACCAGAGGGAGGGAAATTTCTGTCCTTAAAACACCACCAGTGCCAAAGCAAGGCATCCCTACTCCTGCAGCTCTTAAGAGGGCATTTTGTATTAGAACCCTTGAAATCCTCATTGATTCTCTCCTTTTGTCACCCTTCTGGATGATGTGAGGTGACCTAAATCAGCAGTTTGATCTCACACTCTATCTATTCTACCATTCATGTAGGAAACTGCCAGAAATTCAGGACACATCCAAAGGATCCACAGGACTTCAAGATGTCACAGACTCCAGCACTGAGAAACGTGTCTGGATCAGGATGAACAGCAAGATGCACAGGGGACACAAGAAGGACATTAATTACACTAATGAGGACAGTCTGGGGTTACCTTTTCTCCTCCTCCAGCTGATTGAGGAGCTCCACCTTCTCCCTGTCAGCTGCCTCCACCATGGCTCGGAGCTGGTCCATTTTTGCCTCCATCTCCAGCACGTGCTAATCAGGAAGAGGAATAAAACCAAAATTTACTAAGCTGGGAAATACAAGAATATTTTCCAAGTTATGTACCTGTACCTCAGTAGCCAGGATTTGCTGAAGTGATGGGCCAAGTGACAGGAATGTTATCAAATATGGACATGAGCAAACACTGCAGTGAAGTTCAACAAAAAACAGTTAAATCCAGCAGACCTGGCGTCTCATCAGGCCAAAGATCCCACAAGGGACATCTCACAGGTATGGATTATTTTACTTTTAGCACAGCACCTCTTACTCCCAGCCCTTTCCAGTAGCAAAAGCCCATTTGGAGGTCAAGGCCGTGGTGTAACTCTGTTCCAGAGGAACACAAACTCCCTCACCCGGTCGTGCCCATCGCGAACCAGAGCCAATTCCTGCTCGATCTCCCCGACGTGGCTCGTTGCTTTTGCAACTTCTGCCCTCTCCAGGTCCCTTTCTGCCAGGAGCTGCTCAATGTGCTGCTGCTTCTCCTTCAGGGCCTCCTGGAGGGCTGTGGTGCCCGAAATTTTTCTTGCATAGCGGGAAGAGGTTTCTGTCAACTTCACAAAATAAATGAGTTAAAAATCATTCTGCACCAAGAGAAAGGAAACAGGGGTGGAGTGAGCACCTCCAGATCCACAAACACAGGGTTAGTAGAGCAAATGCTTTCTGTGACCTACTGGACCTTCTCCTTTTACACTTAAATTAATTTTCCAGAATTTAACAGTGGCCACCACACAGCCCTGTAAGGAGGAGCAGCCAGAGGAGGAGGCTCCAGGAGGGATGAAGTGAAAATAAAAGGCCTCAGTTGAAGGTGTAGACTCACACAAAGGCTGGTCAGGATGCTCCTGAGCATCTTTTTGCATTAAAAAAGGAAAGGCAGCTTTCTAGCAAGCGAAAAACATCATGTCTCTAATTAACAGGTCATTATCTTGGGTCACCAGCAGCAGTCCAACACTTCCAAATGCTCCATGAAAAGCTTTGGGAACTCCCACCAGCATCTGGCACCTCTACCATGGCAAAAGGGCCAGGATGAAGAGCAATTACCCTGACTTACAGCCAAAACCTTCTGAAGAACAACAGCTGCATAAAAAATAAAATATATGCTTCTATCACTTGGAATTAAATTACTTCTCGGAAAAGGATCAGCAATATTAAATTTCAAGAATGTGGATTAAAATTAATCAGGAGAATTGCAGCTAAAAAGAAACCAGGTTTTCCTTGACCTTGCCCCACTGAATGGAATCAGTACCAGGGAAAATTCATTATGGCCCCACCAGCTACACCCTCATGAGTTCCTGAGCTAGCAGGGAAGGTAAATAAATTAAAATTATGAAGTGAGCAATAGTTGTGAAAACATCAAAAACTGAAAAAAAAAAAAATCCAGTGCTGTTCATAAAACCTGTCTTTACCAGCTGAGAAATTTGCCGAAGTATTAAATGAGAATGACAGCTGAGTTAATTTTTAAAAAAACCCCAAATCATGAAGATCTGCTGTTGCATCCTTTGGCTCTGCCTAATCACCCAGATCAGGAGCAGGATCCTTGCAGAGATGCAAACACTGAACAGCTGCCAGCCTGGGGAGCTGGCACTGCCCCCAGCCCCAGCTGAGGGCACAGCAGGGATTTCTGTCCTGCAGCTCCTGCCAGCCTGGAGCCCACCCTGCACCCTGAAATCCACTGCTGCTCCCTCCCAGCACCAGCCAGAACAAACCACACTCACTCTGATGCTGCACTGGTTGTTTCACACCCTCCCAGTTTCTAGAAAAAATCCCATTGCAGAGTGTATTGCTTTCTAAGAGTTTTAGGTGTTCAAATCACCCTTCACTCCCAACTGCAAAACAAATCCAAAACTGTTCAGAGAAGCATCAGCTTCCTTCAGACCCAGCAATAAACACCAATTGCATCAGACAGCCCCTTAATCAATGGATCACCTACTCTGACAGCTGCTTTTATTACTCAGAAAAAAGAAAATAGAAACAGCCCTGAACAACGGAGCAATCCATGTAAGAGGCAGAAATCTCCAGAGAAGTTTCAGTTTTCCTAGAAACTGAAGCAGGAAAAGTCTGCTGGGTCAAACCTGATTACAGGAAATCTCGTTTCCCCAGCAGCTTAACTTTTAAAGAAAAAGTCTCAGAGTTATTTGGACAATCCTTTTAACTTGGATGGCCACCAAATGTTCACCCTGCCTGAGAAAGCTGGAATTTAAATTCCAGATATAATGGATTACAGCAGCTTTGTATTTTATGACCTAAATCATGCGAAATCCCTGGGACACAACAAAACAAGCAAACAGATTTTAGACACTCACAAGGTGTAACTTGGGGGATCACAGCACATGGAACGAAGCATTTGGTGCCACGTGTTGGTGCTGTGATCCCAAACTAGAGGGCACTCTGCAGCTGCAAGTGCAACTTCCAGAATGGATTAAGCGATGAAGTCCCACTGTTTGTGCCAAATAAAAATCCTTTTTGTGGCCAGGTATTAACCCTGGTGCCCTGACCGACTGCTGACCTCTGGTAATCTGCTCCAGTCCTGCAGGAGCAGGGGAAGTCACCTCTGGGCACCTGCTGGTCAGTGGGACAGTGGGACAGGGACCTGCTCCACAGCACTGGGAGTCACTCCTTCCTAATTACATCTATCTATGGCCTGTGGTTTAAAAAAAAAAAAAGGAATAAGCTAGAGTGACTGTGGAAAAATCCAATTATTTCTATGTTTTCAATTGCCATAAAAGAGACTTCTCAAAATTCAGCCTTCCCAGATTTCCATTTTACTGCTGCAACCCAAGATTAGGACATTTATGTAACAGAGCAACTTCAAAAGAATCCATAGTAAGTGTATTAGGTGGAATTAGTACTGTGTTAGATTTCACCTGAGCCACTGCACTTGGCAACACTCAGCCTTTATGAATTTACAGGATTAAAACCACATCTAAAAGAAAAGAAAGAGGCTTCTTGTCAGCAGAGACTTGGAAATTGCTCCTGCTGCATTTCTCAGCTGACTCATCTCTTGAACAGCAAAAGGAAATTTGGAACATTTTAGCCAACGTGAAGCTTCCTGCTCAAACAAACCCAGTGTGACATCTGGAAGCTTCAGAAAATGAATTAAATGCAGATTGCTGTCACAGACACATTTTATGAAAAATCCTTTCCTTAGGATTTTTTCTCCTGAGAAGCTGAGAGGCCTCAGGAACAAAATGCAAACA